GAACACTGTTAACTGGTGAAATCCGCTTCCCAGGCTTGTACAGTGGGAATTTTGCCATGAACTCTGGCAAGATCAGCTCTTTTCTATAAAACATCCGTGACACTCGCTCGGAGCCAAGCTCCTTCAAGTGGTGATAACTGAGCTCTCTGGGTCCCCAAATGTTATTTCAGTATAGTTCAACCATCTCTGAGTAATCAAAATTTAATAGTTAGGCCAGTAGCCAATAGTTTTAACTGGCAGACTATAAACCCCAGATGCCCTACAAAGTATTTCTTGGTGTGCTCTGCAGGGCTGTAGTCACAAACTTGATGCCTTGGGAATAGAGTTATAGAGTTGGAAAGGGCCACAAGGGACATCTTGTCGAACCCCTTGTCATGCAGATGTATACAGCTAAAGCATACCTGAAATATGTCCATCTAACATCTGTTTAGAGACCCCCAAAGAGGAAGAGTCCACCACTCACTGAGGCAATCTATTGAACTGTCAGATAGATCTTACAGTCAAGAAATTCCTCCTAATGTTTAGGCAATCTCTTTGTAATTATAATCAGAGAATCAGAGAGTTGGAAGAGACTTCAAGGGCTATCCAGTCCAACCCCCCTGCCATGCAGGAAGTCACAATCAAAACACTCCTGACAGATGGCCATTCATCTTCTATTTAAAAATCTCCAGAGAAGGAGATTTGACTGCACTCTGAGGCATCATATTCCACTGTCGAATAGCTCTTACCATCAGGAAATTCTTCCTAATGTTTAGGTGGAATCTCTTTTTCTGCAGTTTGAATCCATTGCTCTGTGTCCTAATAAATAATAATAATAAATTTTATTTATAACCCGCCCCTCTGCTCGGCAATCGGGGCAGCGTACAACAGATTAAAAATACAATAGATAAAACAATTCTCTTCATTTACCAAGCTTGTGACTCTGTTAAAAAAGGAGAGATATACAATTAATGTGGCATGACATGTTTTTGAGAAACCAGTGTTGACTTTTAGTGATCATGACATTCCCTTCTAAGTGCTTACAGTCAGCTTCATGATCTGCTCTAGAATTTTTCCTTGTATTGATGACAGGCTGATTAGGAGGTAATTTTGGGGGTCCTCTTTTTTTTCTTTTTTTGAAGATGGGGACAGCATTTGCCCTCCTTCAGTCTGCTAAGACATCTCCTGTTCTCCAGGAATTCTCAAAGATTATTGACAGTGATTCTGAGATTACCTCTGCCAGTTCTTTTAAACCCCTTTGATAAAGTTCGTCTGGCCCTGGAGAATAGAATTCATTTAGAATAGCCAGGTATTCCTCTACTACCTCTTTACCTATTCTGTGCACATTTCCCCTACTGCATCATCTTCTTTCCAAGAAGAAAAATTGGAGATTTATTTTAATTAATTTGAATTGATCTTGAAAGGAGCTGAAAATACATTTCCATTATGGAGGGAGAAACCTTGCATACCAGCTCGCAAACACACTGAAGTGTTACAAGGCTAAATATAAAGTATTTTAAAAGACGGAACGCATTGATGAAGAATCCATTAAATGGTTTTAAAGATCCTGTGAATAACTATCTCTTTCCTATTTTACTTCTCAGAGGGTTCATCTACACTGTAGAAATAATGCAGTTTGATAACAATTTAACTGCCATGGCTCCATCCAAAAAATCCTGGGATTTTTAGTTTGATGAGATAGCAGCATTATTTGTCAGGTAAAGACCTTGTAAAACTATGAATCCCATGATTCTGTAGGATGGAGCTGCAGCAAATGGTGACAAATTGCATTATTGCTACTGCATAATGCATCCCAAGTTTTAATTCCTCCATAAGGACTTTATGCTTTAATTACATGGACTTATATTCTGTATCCTTCTCCAAGTTTTAAGACTTCTGCAACTCTGCTTCTTCATCCTTGAACTGAATGTGGCTGTTCTGCATTGGACAAAAATGTCCAACCACTCTCATAGGGGAGTTTAGGAGTACCAAAGACACCAACAGGATTCCAGCTCTAATGTTAGTGTCTGTAATCATTTTAATGCCAAGTTAATTTGAGATCTCAGCAGCTGATGGGTTTAGCCCAGAGTTGCCATGAAGGCATTTAATTTCTGACAGCTAATTGAAGCAATCCTGATCTTTCATCAATTTAAAAGGTTCCCAGCTCTTTGGGGTATTTGTGTGTGTGTGTGTGTGTGTGTATGAATGAGATGGCAAGAGAGAGAGAGAAAGGGAGAAATAAATTATGATTAAAAAATAAGCTTCCATGAGCATGTCAAATAGACTGTTCCAACTGCATTTTAGAAAGTGGGGGGAAGACCCTCATTCTTTAGAGAGTGTTAGCTATAACTGAGATCTCACGCTTTCATGTCATTGTGTTCTATATTACAGGTTAAATCTCCGTTATCCAAAATGCTTCAGACTAGAAGTGTTTTGCATTTCAGATATTTTCAGATTTTGGAATATTTGTGTATACATAATTAGATATCTTGGAGATGGTACCCAACTCTAAACATTAAATTCATTTATGTTTCATATATACCTGATACGCACAACTTGAAGGTAGTTTTATAATAATATCTTAAATAATTTTGTGCATGAAACAAAGTTTGTGTACACTGAACCATCAGAAAGCAAAGGTGTCACTATCCCAGCCATCCATGTGCTTAATTTTGGATTTTGGAGTATTTTGAATTTTGGAATTTCTGATAAGGGAGACTCAACCTGTACCATCTCACATACTTTTAATAAACATCTACCTCCTTTGGTAGCAAGGTCAATTTAAAATAAGGTTGGACATCAACCATCTAAAATGGGGCTGGGCGCTTGCATAGGGGCCATGGGCAATTTTTGCATCCCACCTTGCAGGCCGTGCCACACACACACAGAGCAACCCCCCAAATCTCCATTTTCCTCTACAGTCCCTCTCAAAATTGCAACAGGAACTTATATTATTCTCTACTGACAAACTTATAACAAATTCAAATTAGAAGTGAATAATATTCCACAATCTTCATCAAGAATAAGTGCAAAGACATTGCATAGCGTAGTTGTGAAGCAGTATATAAATGAAGCTGCTTTGCTTTGCTTTGCTTTGCAAAGCATTAGGTGAGGAGAGCCCAGCTTGCTTTTCCATCTGTTTCTCCACTTGTCTAGCTTTTTTAAACATCACAACAAGCCTTTGAGGTAGGCTTGAGATTTGAACCTAAAAATTTAAGTTTCTAGGCTGCCACACTAACCATATACTTCATTGGCTCTCTAAGGTTATGCTTCAGTTGGCACTTACCTAAGAGATACTTTTGTTGAATTTATCCAGATTTACATCTGAGCAGACATCTACTTACTCACTGGAAAGTGAATCACAGAATCATAGGAAAGGAAAAGCGACCAGATGCCAATTACTCAAACACCTTTCTAGGACAGGGAGCTACAGCTGGAGTATACAGGAAATGAATATATTTGGATATAAAGAAAACTCAGCCTTGCGTCCAGGACACCTGAAGGATTGCCTTCTTTTTTACCAGCCCTTTTTGGTCCCTAAAATTTGACTGAGACATCTTTCTCTGTGTTGCAACAATGGAGGACAATGACAAGATGAAGGGACTTCTCAATGGCTCTTCCTTAACTGTGAAATTCTTTGCTTCTGGAAGCTAGGTTGGCATCTTCTTTTATATCACTACAAAGTGAAAGCCACAAATTTCATGAGTTACTTTTCATTTTTAGCCAGTGTGCCTGCCTGTGTTTATCATAATGCTGTTGATTTGGATTTATGGTTGCTTACTTGATTGTATTATTGGATACAATTGTTGATATACCACCATACCAGTTACCAGTCTGAACATTCTTGATTTTCAGTATACAAAGAGATCTTTAGTACGATACCTTTGAAACAGTTTGCAAAGGCCCTAACTGAAAGAAAGAAGCTGGTAGCATGAGTTTTATGAAAGCTCATGCTACCAGCTTCTTCCTTTCAGTTAGCCTCAAAGGTGCTATAACAGGGGTCGGCAAGTTCCCCTTACCTGGGGCTGGGCTGGGGATCCCCGGGTCTTCCGCGGGCCAATGGTGGGGGGTGGGAATGGCGGTGACGCGCGCGGAAAACATTTGGAAAATAAAATGGCAGCGCACGTGGGGGGGGCAATCCAAAGGCCTCGGGGGGGGGTGGACCTGGCCTGCAGGCCGTAGGTTGCCAACCCCTGTGCTATAAGATCCCTTTGCATATTTAGAAGCTCTCATTCATTCATTTGAGTATTTATATCCCACTCTTCAGCCAAAAAGATTTCCAGAGCAGCTTACAAACTCAGGTTTGTAATCTAAAAAGATGTGGTGAGTAAGGAAAAGGGGATGGTAGTGAAAGAGATGATTAAGTCCAGGAGATGCTGGCTGCTCTTCTCTCCCTCTGAGGCCTCAGCAGTGTTGGTTGCAATGGTGGGAGGGCCTCTCACCAGCCGCTGGGACCAATGGAGCTGTCCCTGGCTGCTCTTCTCTCCCTTTGAGGCCACAGCAATTGCAGTTGGAATGGAGAGAGGGACTCTCATCAGTCAGGCCTGGTTAGCGCTTGGATGGGAAGCTACCAGGAAATAGTGAGAATCCCCAGCCAGGAGGAGATCATGCCTGAAACCTTTGGAGAGCCATCACTGCCAATCAGAGTTGATGATATTGGGCTTATTGTGTGTTTCCAGCTTATGGCAACCCTAAGGCAAACCTTTGTTGTTGTTGTTGTTGTTGTTGTGTGCCTTCATGTCACTTCTGAGTATGTATAGAGATCCTAAGGTGAACCTATCATGGGGTTTTCTTGGCAAGTTTCTTCAGAGGGGTTTGCCATTGTCATCCTCTCAGGCTAACAAAGTATGACTTGCCCATGGCCAAACTGGGATTCAAACCCTGGTCTCCAGAGCCATAGTCCAATGCTCAAACCATAAGCCACACTGGCTCCAAGGTAGACTTCTCATGGGGTTTTCTGGTCAAGATTTATTGAGAGAAGCTTTTCCTTCCCCTGAAGCAAAGAGTATGTGACTTGCCCAAGATCAAGCTGGGAATTGAACCCTAGTCTCCAGAATTGCAGTCCAACACTCAAACCAATACGCCATGCTAGACCTTTGATATTGGGGTAGATGGACCCAAGATCTGGTTTGATAGAAGGCACCTTCCTATATTCCACTTGTGGGATGAACCTTCTGTTCCTCTCATATTGGGGTTGGGGATGCCTTGGGTCTTGGGCATGAAGAAAGGCAGTATACAAATTAAAATAAATAAATTACTCAAAAGAAAGCCCAACTGCATCCGGTGGTATTTACTCCAGGTAAGTAGTTACCAAATTGTAACCAATGTCCCTGTCTTTCAGCCTCTTCCTTCACAAGGCCATTTTCTGCATAACTAAGGTTAGAATGATAAATGTCTTGCAGAGTTGCTAGAAGCTATGAATAATAATATTAGAATAATAAATGCTTGGAGAATAGGCTACTCTCAGGGGCAACCAAGGCTATTTGCTAGCAATTCTAATTTATGGCATTTACATATCATGAGTTAATTGTGACAGCTCATGTATATTTATAAGTCTGCAACACTCTTCCTAGAGAAGTGCATGGCACACTGTCTGAGAGCTAGTTGTACATCAGTGTATTATGCAAATTGCTGTGGATTTTCACATGTTTGCATCAACAGTTTATTGTCTTCACTTCCCTGTGTAAATTCACATCTATTCACATCTATTCATCCTCCATCTGCTGAAAATGCACAGCCATTCAAATCCATGGGAATCAGTCAGACAACCACACTTGCGATAATGCGCATTTCTGTGGATTTCTGCACATACTCCAGTAAAAACCACTTTTTCTGCAGAGCTAGGAGGTTTTTTGCCAGTTTTCTCCTCAAAAACTCCTGTGAATTGGATGTGGTCAGATTGCATTCTATTCAACTGGAATGATAAATATTTTAATTGTGTAGACTGTAGAGTATAGACTATCCCTGAGATTGCAGCATTTCAAGATGGTCAGTTGGGAATCCTATTGTCCTAGGTTAAAAAAGCCTTGGACTAGGAATGTAAATGGGCTCATTCACACTGCACAATTATAGAACTATGATTCCATTTTAACTGCCTTGGCAACATCCCATGGGATCTGCAGTTTAGGGATTTGCATTGAGAATGGGGTCTGCATTTAGAATTCTGGGCCAAAAAGCTCTAGTGCCTCAACAAACTACATATTGCAAGATTTCATAAGATGCAACCATGGTAGTTAAGTTGAATCAAGTTATAATTGTGTAGCATTAATGGCTCCAATCAGCATTGAAGAATGTGTAACCAGCCATTTTCTGTCTGTTCCATTTCTGCACAATTTTCACACTCTATTCCTCCTCCAATGCTTTGTTGGGGAAAAAATGACACAAGAATACACTGATTCCTGTGCAAAAATGTTGGTTTTGCACAGAAGATAAATGCTCAAAAACTACATATGGCGTAGAATCCTGTTGGTATCCTGCAAGAGTATAAGTTTGGGATTTTTTTGTTTGTTTGTTTCATGCAGAATGACAAGTTCCATTCAAGGGTTGCGGAAGTGGATGATACTATGTAGTTGTGGATATAAGTGCACATGGAGGCACACTGATCTCCACAGACACATATACACACTGATGCAATTGCTTAATGTACATCACACTGGAGGTGCACATGCCATTTGGTTGCATACTGGTTCTGCAGTGTCACAATTCATTGATGAGGCAGAATTGTGCGACCATCACATAATACCATGAGTACAGTTACTCTGTCACATTGATATAGGGTTTCAGCAGTAAGGTGTATGTGTACAAATTGATGCATTTACATGAAGACAGATCAGAGATGTCCTCAAGATTGTGTGTGGAAGCAAGTGGGGGGGTCACTCATATGTATGCACACACATGCACACAAAATTGGAGCTCCCAGAGGAATCTCAGGGTGAGAACATGGCTGTCTTCTTTTGCCCTTGGGAGGCTAGCCAAACCCTCAGTCCAGAGTCTCAGCATTTCATGCACTGAGCGAGAGTGAGAAAAAGAGAACTTGTCTCACCAAGATGTTGGTAACAAGAGCAGTGGTCGTACAGTCCAGATTCGTCACAAGGCTTCAGTCCGTCCAGTACAGCAAGGTTCAAAGGGAATATCTGAAAGAGTAGTCCAGATCCAAGCAGGCAATCAGTCAAAAGCAAGGCAACAGCAAGGCATCTCCCAAGCATGATGGGTGGTTGTCAACCATACTGGATCAAGGGTGGTGCTGGGATATTTATAGCCCCTCTGGGTCTCACAGGTGCTCCTTATTAGCATCCTGTTCTTACTTAACCACAAGGGATACCATTGCCTCTCTTTTTCCTGGCATCTCTTTGTGGGAGTAGACACTGATAAGTCTGATTTGGGTGGAGGGAAACTTTGCTTCCGGGAATTTGGTTCTGGTACTGGCTGCAGTCTTACTTCCAGTGGCTTCAGTCTTGGCATGTCTCTCCGACTCAGAGAACATGCTTGGCTCCTGGAGGTAGGGCATAACAATGGCCTTGAAAGTGTGTGTGTGTGTGTTTCTCTCATTTCTTAGACCTGGTGTTTTTTATATTCGAATGTCATCCTTTGTGTAACTGTGGTAGATGCTTACAGTATCATCCTTAATGACATCACCAGGGGCTGCCCCTTCAGACATCACTAAGGCTTGCTCCCTGTGATATCACAAGGAGTCATCCCTAGATGAGAACCAGCATGGTGTTGTAGTTTGACTGTTGGACTAGGACCCTGGGACAGAAGGATTCACATTCCCACTCAGCTACAGAAAACCAGAAGTCACACACTCTCAACCTAAAAAGAAGGCAATGGCAAACTCCCTCGAAATAAATCTTGCCAAGGAAACCCATGACAGGTTTGCCTTGGGGTTGCCATAAGTCGGACATAACTTGAAGATATAACAAAACCAACATCCCTAGATATCAGGTTCTGACCCTGAAATCCCAGGATGCTCCTGCCCAGGGAACAGTAATTGTTGTATATGCTGATGATGGTGAGGAAAGGAAAAAAGAATAGATGTGGACCAAGAAAATGCCATGGTGTTTTGGCACATAGTACTGTAGAGTTTTGAGCATGTTTCCTTCAAATGGAGGTGATGGAAAGGTACTTTAGATCCTGCTTTGCTCTCTAAGAGTCCAAGGGGGCTTGTCCTCCTCCAGTGATAATTAGAATATATTTATGGAACAGCAGAACGTCTCTGGCTGGCTGTTTGCCAGCAGCAGCATTAACAGCAGCAGCAGCCTTCCTGATGAATAATAGGCCCAATAAAGTCTGTATTTAAACACAACCACACACACAAAGCCATTAACTCACATGGCAGGGAGTGAGTGTTTCTGTCTTAATATTCCAGACACCTTCCTTTCATTTCCTTCCATAATTTTTTTTGGCTCCAGTGGGTGACATGTATATGTGTGTATGTGTGTGTCTATACTGAACACAGTCCACTTCGAGTGCATGTACCTAAGCCTGCGGAATAGGGATAGTTTGGAGATTCTGCTAGTATACCAACCACCCCATTGTCTGGCAGACTCCCTAACCGAGCTAACACAGCTAGTCTCAGATTTGCTGTTGGAGTCGCCCAGACTTTTAGTCTTGGGCGACTTCAACATCCCTCTGGAAACCAGTCTGTCAACTCTCACAGGCGCATCTTGGGAGTTCATGGAATCCATGACAAACATGGGTCTATCCCAATTGGTCGTTGGGCCTACTCATTGTGCGGGTCATACCCTCCATGCAGTCTTTATTACGGAACAGAAATATTCATGGGCGGAAGTTATTAAAACCATGGACAGATCATTAAAATTGTCATGGAAGGATCATTTCCTGGTCAAGGCTGAACTAAGAACCACTGTCCACCCACCAGGGGTGGTGGACCCATTAGAATGGTCTGCCCTCGAAGGCTAATGGAACTAATTGGATTCCAGAAAGCCTTGGAGGGTTTAATGGTTGGTAACACTGGTGATTCTGTCGAAGCTTTGGTTAATACCTGGAACACCGATCTTGCCAAGGCTATCGACACGATTGCTCCCAAGCGTCCTTTCCAACTCGCTTCCAACCATAAGCCCTGGTACACAGAAGGGCTTAGGAGGATGAAATGGGTTGGACAATGACTAGAGCGCACCTGGCGGAAAACTTGACTCTTATCTGACAAGACTCGTCATAGGAACTTTCTTGATTCCTATTGAGAGGCAAAATGCTCTTTCTGCTCTTCATGTATTGTGTCTGCAGAGTCCCGTCCAGCACAGATGTTTAGGGTGGTAGGGGAATTGACACGGGTTCCACCTGCACAGAACCCAACAACATCCTGCTGTGATGCGTTTAACAACTTCTTTGCAGATAAAATCTCTCAGATAAGAGCCGACTTAGATGCCAGTATTGATATGGAATCTATAGACGAGGCGTCCAGTAACTCCATTACCGAAATTTTACTGGATCAATTCCAATCTGTGAGTACTGATGATGTGGACAAGCTCCTTGGCAGAGTGAGGAAAACTACCTGCCCTCTCGATCCTTGCCCATCATGGCTGGCCATCCAGAGAGGGGATGCTTTGAGGGTATTCCTTAAAGACATCATCAATGCATCCCTCAGGGAGGGCTTTGTTCCATCTTGTTTAAAGGAAGTGGCGATTAGGCTGCTCCTGAAAAAGCCCTCCCTGGATCCCCTGGATATGAATAACTATAGGTCGGTCTTGTTGTTACCATTCCTGAGCAAAGTGATCAAGAGGGTAGTGGCTCTTCAAGTCCAAGCTGTCTTGGATGGAACTGATTATTTAGATCAGGGGTAGGCAACCTTTTCCCTTTAAGGGCCGAGGGACTTCAACTCCCAGAATCCCAGGAGCTATTGGCCAACATGGGACTATTGGCCAACTTGGCTGAGGCTTCTGGGAGCTGAAGTCCCTCAGCCCTTAAAGGGGAAAAGTTGCCTACCCCTGATTTAGATCCATTTCAAACTGGCTTTAGGACAGGATTTGGAGTTGAGACTGCCATGGTTGCCTTGACTGATGACATTCATCTGAGCATTGACAGGAGTAGTGTGACCCTGCTGGTGCTCTTAGACCTCTCAGCAGCTTTTGATACAAT